GCATTTATGTTTGGATTCCTAGTCATCAGTTTTTCACAGTGACACTTTAAAAAATAGCTTGATGAGGTAGAATGCAAGTTACTTTGCTATCCAACATTAGTGTTCTAAGCAAATCATTTCAAGTATTCTTCCATATGGGAATAAATGTTCTTAAGCAGAGCAAGTGATAATAGTGTTAAAATATATGCAGTTTTTTGTCTAATAGCACAATCTGTTTCAGTTTGTCATGTCCTTCTGTCCCACCCCCCACCATCCAAATACAAGGAGAAAACATTACCCATAATATTGGCTCAAACGTTACACAAAATATTGGCTCCTTCAATGCTGACCACCTGAAGAGAAAAGTAGCAATTCATGGTGTGTTGAGTGTTCATTTTTTGCTTCTCCAAGTGAAAAAAAACTGAACAAGTTGGTGTAAACAAGAAATTAGGAAGTATTTCTGCATTGGGGGGGTGCTACTATCAAGGAGAGAACGCAAGATGCCTTCTGATGTCAATTACCAACTGCAGCTGCTCTGGGAGAAATTTAGGAAGTGCTATAGGGACAAATCCTTGAGCAGTACTACAAAAAGCAGGACAGATGACGGCTGGCCAACTAGGTATCACATCCTGTATAAGGATGTGAATGATTTACTGGTAAGCATCACCCTTATAGAATGATGCTTACCAGTTATGGTTAACCAATGGGGACTGAAGCAGGGCCCCTCCCCTCACCCATCTAAGCATTTAAACATAACAGTTAATTGGTTAACTCAATGGGATTTTGCATCCCTAATCCTGTGAAGGGAAGCAGGCAGCCTCATGAGAAGAGTGCAAAGGAAGTGAAATAGGGCTAAGACAGCATCTGCAGAGAACCTGCAGCAAAACTTTGGGAGAAAATAGACCTACAATGGAGGGATGCTATTTCTAGGCAATTCTCCAGGCTAGAGCAGCCTCCTGCGTGTGTCAGGCGGGGGGCTGTGCCAGCTCCTGCTCATTAACTATAACATCCTTGATTCTCAACTGTGACATTTTACAAAACATTGGAACTCTTGTATCTGTCAGAACGTTGGCCAGTAAACATTTAGTAGTAGTACTTGAGCTAGGAAGTCTTTATAAAATGGTTGAATGACTTAAATTCCCAATAGGTCCATGAGGTTGAATGTTGTACAACTTACATGTACAACTTACATGTTGTAGTGCTACCAGCTGCAGGCTTCAGTATCAGGTATTAGTATTCCAAAATGCAAATACTGAGTTAGAAAGCAGGTATTTACTCCCTCCAAAGTACATCAATGTTCTTCACAAAGAGCAAGAAACTTTAATTTTATTTCCTGCTCCAATCTCTACATATTTTTCTCTCCCTGAGTTCAGTTATTTGGAACAGCCCCCTATTTATAAACATTACACACCTCAGCATATCTTTCAGACCAGACCTACAGCAATGCCAATGTATCCTATGGATTTGCCATCACCCTCTAGTTTATATTACTTTGTAATTTGATGGAAACTAGGATACACGTCCCTCTGGGAGTTGCCGCTGTAATCTCATCCTCTATCATAAAAATGCCCCAAGTATTCTCTGTGGCTTCCACCAGTGATGCATTATGGCTATGAAATGGAGTAATAGAGACAAGATTTTAATATTTTAACTCAGATTCAAAAACTTTTAGAACAAAAGTATGCAAAACAGTGGAGATTGTATTATAATTCATAATCTGCATTGGCAGAGGTGTTTTTCAGGTTTGTATTTCTAAAGTTATCAGTATGGCAAAAATTGTTTAACTGGTTCATTTTAGATACCAGAAAGTTTCCATTCAGTGATGATTTTTACAGGAAAACTTGTCTGGATGTGAAAAGTTTTGAGGAAGCTTTGAAAATATTTATGATGGAACAGAATTTATTGTTAGCTTTTTTCCTTTCCCTTTCAGTAGATTCATTTTCATTATTTTAAAGATGTAAATATAAGCAATGAATAAGTTTAAATTTAATCAGCTGATTCACATAATAGTAGACTTCCCAAATGTTGAACTCAATATATTTATTAACATTTCTAACAGTGTTTTATGTTATCCCAATAGTGCAAAATTACAGAAAGCTGTACAAATACTGTATAAAAGCACGCGATTATACTAATATAGCACCAATTCAACAAGATGTTTAAGTTGTGAATGACCCTTTGAATTAATTCATTCACATCTTGATATAAATTGAGGGCCAATTCTGAAAGAATTAAATCAGTGTGGATCTAGAATATTGCGACAAAACTTCTGCATGCTAACAAAGTTGGGTACCTGATTAACAGTAACATAATTGAACATGTACATGGACACGTAACATTCAGTCATACATCTAGCATGCATTAGTCCAAGCATTCCATTTTGTGCACAGAAGGCCACAACACATTATCACAACTGGAATTTCCAGAGACGGAAAACACTTACAATTAAATAGTTACTGGTTACAATTGTGTACAATCACACTTGGTAAATATGATGACACAGAATTGCCATATCTCTCTCACTTGAATGTTGCTTGGCCCAGATAAGTTTCATTGCATCTTTTCAAAAGTGATAGTATGTGAAAGAGGTCATGAGCAAAAAAATACTTGTTTATAACTACTTAGAACTGACTTTTAATAAGCACTCTGTGCATCCTAGAAATAGCACAATTGTTGTACTTCAGTTTATCGTATAATAATGAGACACTAGTGTAACAGTAATTAGTGACTGCCTCTTGTGGACTAAATTAATTTTTCATCCTTAATAGTTGTGTTGCCACACCAATAAGGGTTGCTTTTTTCAATGTGAAAGATTCTTTGTAGTGTTTAATCACTGGTTTTTATGATCGTGAGAATAGTATTTACTAGAGAATTAGCAGAAGAAACAGATGTGAATGAATAATTTTTTTGGGTTGACATCTGAAAACTGGCCATTTTGTTAGTTCTTTCAAATAAGATTTTTTGTGTAAAATAAGTCCTGTGGCATTGGGCTCCAATTTTTTCTCTTATCATACATTTAATTTGAACAAGCTAATTAGGAATTGGATAAAATATCTGCAAGGAAATATGTTGAGTATATTGGTACTTTCTAGCTCTGTGTGTCCAACCAGCTCTGAAGCAGTCAAATATTCACAAGTGGCTAGCCCAGGGGTGGGCAAAAGGGCCTCCGCGGGCCAGATTCAGCCCTCCATGTGAGTTGATCCTGCCCACAGAGGCCCTGCCCCCAGGCCACATGAAGTCTTCTCCCACCCTGCAAGAGGCTTAGCACTTAGTCACCTGCCAGCTGCTGCTCAGCTGGCGGTTGACTCTAAGCACGGAGCTCCCTTGCAGGGCGAAGGCAGAATGCGAGAGACTTCACGTGCTCCCCTCCCCAGGCCCTGATTGACCTGCAGGTAGCAAGGGGGAGCACGCAAAAAGTCTTCTCCCACCACCAGGATCATGGATACCTAGAGGGAAGTGCCAGCTATTCAGAACTCACACTGGTCCAACTGCTGCTTCTGTCCCTTTGAAATATACAAGACCCACCTGTGGCACTTGTAGATTTCAAAGGAATAGGCCCAGAGGGGAACCCAGGCAGTGGGTACTTCTTCCTCCCCACTGCTGCATCTCTCCCTTTGAAATATACAAGAGCTGCAGGTGGCCCTTGTGAATTTCAAAGGGAGAGGGGAGATGGGATAGCGAGCACCCACTCCCCCATCAACAAATCGATGGGGATTCCATTGACTACTCGGTTAGCTGATTAATGGAAATTTAACATCCCTAGTTCCCATACCTGAATCCAGATTCTGTTATGTCCCAAACATAGCTTTTGATGTGGAAATGCTGATGTTAATGGCAGGAGAAATTGGTTTTGTCATGTGCTAGCCATTTAACATTTTTGTTTAGGCTCTGGGTAATGGTGTCAAGTCTGTAAATAAATTCCAGTTCTGCACTCGCTCTGTAATTGGTTAGTCAAATTCCTTTGTAGAAGAATAGCTACTTTTAAAATCCATAATTGAGTGACCAGGCAGGTTAAAATGTTCCCCTAAAGGTTTGTAATTCTCTCCAAAAATAGTATGTGCGTGTGCCTTGTTTTTTGAAGCATTTATGAAGAACTTTTGTATATCTGAAAATCAAACATGCCTCTGCCCTCTTTCATTTTTTTTAATATGGCATATGTGAGTATATGGGGCATTTTATTGGCAAGAATTTTAATACCCCGCTGCACTGTCTAGTTGTACAGTAGTCTTCCGATAATCTGGCACCTTTGGGACCCAGGGGGTGCCGGATTATCGGATATGCCAAAGTATCAGGAGGTACTCCGGCAGGGGGGCTGTGACGGATCTGGGGGGAGAGGAGGGCGAGTCGGCGGGGAACCGCGTGGCGTGGGGCGAACCCTCCGTCGTCTTGCATCCCCAAGTCCACGGCTGCTGAAACTGATGAGCGGCGGACTTGGGGAAGCGGCGGGGCAGAGCGGCTGGGATGCTGCCTGGTTGATCTTGCAGCGCCGCCCCTCATCCCCCTGCTCAGCACCCCGCAGCACCCCAGCTGCTCTGCTCCGCAGCTTCCCTAAGTCCGCCGCTCGTCAGTTTCAGCAGCCGTGGACTTGGGGAAGCAGCACGGGGCAGGGCAA